AAATAAAAATCGCCAGTTAGATATCGATAGAGAGCGCTGTTCTGCCTGGCTAACATCAAGTTAAGCACCAGAGGGAAAACATCAAGATTGGTAGGAGTAGCATGACGGTGGCTGGTGGACTGTCAGTATCTAAATGAGATACTGTAAGGTACAAAACAAATAAATTTTCAATAGAAAATTGAAAAGAAAACTATCCTTTATGGCATTGGTTTGATTTTAATAATTAAAAGTCGCGTCTATGCAGCAGGTGAGTTACAAAATTTCTAGAGCTAAAGGAAACACACTTGATATTCAGTAGTTATAACGTTATAACTTTCTTTATTCCGTAGGTATGAGCGAACGCTTTTCACTCTACTAATTTATTCTTGTTTTTCTCGTCACCATGTCCACGCTTATAGCGTAGCTCCACTTTCTGCATATGAACACCCACACAACCCACAATTCCTCCATTATCTCTGACGAAGGGCTAACACTCGAAACGTCAGCTTTTGAATTCTTTACCGTGGCCAATTTACAATTTTAACTCAGTTGATAAAGCCAAATTACTTTATATAGTCGGGATCTACTACTGTAGACCATCATATAAAACTGATGCTCAGGATCAGGCTTTTCCTTTTAATTCAGCTCTGAGTGATTGATCACGTTTACAGTTTATTTGGACAACATTACGTTTAAGAACTACATGTAGACCAGATAAACCAGGCCGATACAGTTAAACGTCCCGATTGTGTAATTTCTGAGTCTTTTTCCTCTTCTTTTTTTTCGCATTTCCATAAGGCAAATTTGCATTGTTTTATAATATGGCGTCAAAGGCAAAATGTGTCACAAACATAATAACCATTTTTTTTATGTTCACGGACTCCGCTTAAGGAACCAAATGTAATGTAACGATATACAGTATGGTACTTTTCCCAGTTATCTCAAGCAACTCTGCAAACAGCAGGTGGACTATTACAATGTACTTTTGTGTCCATAAGTGTTAAATGAGTCCAAAACATTTCATCTTTCCAAGTGTGTGGTATCCCTCATCTCCTGCACCGGTATCCCCAAACCTGAGTTGCTTCACGGGAAGCTTGGACTTGTCTTTGAGTAAACCGCTGTCCTCTCGCCAGTTTTTGTCATTTCTATCCATGATCAGGGTCTGCGCATGAATTGGTCAAGCCGTATGCGCATTTGTAGTCAACAGAATCAACTCCTCCGCAGTACTTCATCAGCTCTCCGTCACGTGACACCCACCAACCGTAAACTGTACCATAAAAAGAAAGTAGTACCGATTCGTAGCACTCGTACATTATAAACTGCTCACATTGAGCAGATGAAGCTGTCAGACTCGCCAGTTGAGGAAGACTGGTTGCATTGTAAGTAACATTGCGCAAATAACTGCCAGGGCCTGCAAACCCATCCACCAATGTTCTAGTTTCACTGTCGTGACTGACAACCGTCACTCCAAAATCGTCCTTGTCAATCATGTCGCAATAAACTTTTAAAGGCTCCAACCCACCTTCTCCATCAGGATCGATGACGTAAGAACCATTTTTGGCTTTTCGGTTGCAATCTTTGATGTCACTGCAGGTCTTACTTCCTGAAAAATATATAGATTCAAAATATCGACATTCTATAGACGAAAAGTCACTTTCCAGCTTCCTAGCCCACTCACCAGAAATTCTATCAAGTCAACAGAAGCTTTGGTGCAAGAGCCATGTGACAGATTACATTAATCGTTCTGACTGAATGTTTAGACTCCTTGGAAATATAAAAGAAAACATCCCAACAACGCCTACCTTTCTCTGTTTTTTATTTCCGGAAAAATATTGGAGGGCAGCAATAGTAAAAATTTGATTTTAATCAGTGATAATTAAAAGTCATTACTTCGTTTAAAAAAAATGGATGAAACGAAAGCTGATGCATGGAAGTACGAAAAAAACCTTGAATAAAAGTGATAGTATAACGTCTACGCCATGGGTTGAGAGAGAGATTTCAATACCTCTTCGTTCACAAAGAATTCCACAGAATCCAGGCGCCCAGCCACACTGAAAGGAGTTCCGTTCATACTCAAGCACACAGATGCCACCATTCCCACAAGGAGCGCTTTCACACGGAGACTGGAAAGAGAGTACAAATTTCTTATCAAATCCGTCTCTCATAGATATAAATGAGTAGATATAAATCCACATGGATATGAAAAGCGATCTTACCCACGCATCATAGTGATGGAAGGTATCATTTGCTTGGAACATTTTAGTTTCTCTGTACTTATCTGTAGCCAACAACTCACACAGATAAAGGCCTTTAGAGTCAGGATGCGCTGCTATGTTGAACGATTAACACTTTCTTTCACCAACACAAAGGAAAGTACAGTGTAAAGCAAATTTATAAATTATAAATTATAGTTAATGATAAAACTACTAGCATATAAGGGCAAAGTAAACAGAAAACAATTGTCAAGTGCTAATAATAGTAAGAGTGCGAAGGTCAGATAAGCTTGCATTGATTGCACGTGCAGCCAATTATTGTCCAATCACAGCTGTTCTTTCTCTGTGTCAATCAAACTGAGCTTAGCATGCCTGCTTCGGTTCAGTGATTTATTACAGTAAATCAGATCACAAGGATAAATAATTCCCTTCCCCCCCCCCCCTTCCCTATTGATAGCACTTGACAATCACTAGTATTCAATGTAATGAAAAGACTTCAATCTACGTTTCATTCTAATATCAGTTAAAACATCATCGAAGGACACAAACTTTGACTCCTAGCGATGTCAATAGGTTGATGTTATTTTTTAGCCATTATTGGCTGTTATACATGATGTTATAGTTTCTCACATATTAATAATTAAGAACTGTTATCTCAAGAAAAAATGTTTTATTAATAAACCAGGGTTCGGAATTAAGTGCTCCCATGCTGGTCACACTTTCACCCATAGACTCATGGCAGTTATTTATTTTGGGCATCGGTACCACTAGCCACTATATGTTGCCATGGGAACTTGGGGGATCCCGGAGGATTATCACCTCCAAGAGGGGATTACTACCCCTCTGGCGGCTAAGGGATTATCACCCTTGATAGTAAGAGAATTTTCATCTCTTTTTCGCATAATTAACTAGCTTCTGACCTCCATGTTATCTCAGCTATTTTGTGACTGGAGGGCTTAATCCCTTTACCCCACAAATGTGTTCTTATTGTTGCCTCTAGTTAGTAGGATGAGAGTATTAACCGATCTATCACCATGGACGATGTAAGTTTCTTTGCCCACATGACAAAAGAAGGGATGGCGCTTAAAATAACCTAAAGAAAGATCGCCTGTTGGATATCGATAGAGAGCGCTGTTCTGCATGGCAAACATCACGTCAAGTAACGAAGGAAAAAAATATCAAGATTGGCAGGAGCAGTAGCATGATGGTGGCTGGTGGACTGTCAACATCTGAATGAGCTACTTCAGAGTGCAAAATACTTTAATTTTGCGCAGAAAACTGAAAAGAAAATTATCCTTTATGGTAATTTTTTGATTTTAATAATTAAAAGCCGTATAAATGAAGCAGGTGCAACGTATGAGTGACAAAAAATTTCAGAACAGACGAAAAACACATTTGATATTCAGTAGTGCATGTCGACAAATAATGACGCTATAACTTCCTCTCACGAAAACAAGAAAGAACACTTGTCCTGTAGAGTTAACTCTGATTTAAAGTAATATTTCAGAGCATAATTTACCGAAATGCGTAAAAGTTTTTTTTTTTGGTTGTTTTGGTTTTTTTTTTCGGCTTGGGATAAATTATTTATTAAAAGGTTTACCTACGACTCCCTCTTTGGGTGACAACATGATAAAAACAGGAAGAGAACGGAAAAAGTGGTTTATTCAAAGAAATAACTCGTGTTAACTCTTCTTTGACCAAGGCTTAGGATGCTAAGTTTAAATGAATGAACTTTTCAATATGTATCCGAAATCGCTTGAAGTCAAGAACACAGGAAGTTTGAGGCTATAAGTTAGAGCACGCTTACAACACGCTAACACAGCACGCTTAGTATGACCAAACGTCTTGGAACAAAGGGGAAAACATTTTTCATTGTTACGATTAGTTTACACGTGAATATGCATGTTGACAAATAATGACGTTATAACTTCCTCTCACGAAAACAAGAAAGAACACTTGTCATGTAGAGTTAACTCTGATTTAAAGTAATCTGTCAGAGCATAATTTACCGAAATGCGTAAAAGTCTTTTTTTTTGTTGTTTTGTTTTGTTTTTTTGACTTGGGATAAATTATTTATCAACAAGTTTACCCATGACTCCCTCTTTAGGTGACAACATGATAAAAACAGGAAGAGAACGGAAAAGGTCGTTTTTCAAAGAAATAACTCGTGTTAACTCTTATTTGACCAAGGCTTAGGATGCTAAGTTTAAATAAATGAACTTTTCAATATGTATCCGAAATCGCTTGAACTCAAGTACATGTCGAAAACGCACCAACACGTTTACTAATTAATCTGTTCCTTTATTCTAAGAATCACTCCACTTAATCTCCAGGCATAACTACAGCATCAACCGACACGAGCGCATGCAGGATCGCTATATTTAACTAAGTAGGTATGTGATACTGTTGG